TTTATTGCATTGTTTCTAATTGTCCTATTTACTTTCTATCACTGCTTATTTGCATACATCAGCTAATTTTCTTCAAAAACTTGTTGAATTACCAAATTTGATATGAAAGGTAATCATGAATTCTTTTTTCATGTTATTACAGCAAGATAAAAATCCACAATGTATCCTCTCATTAATGTATCAACTTCCTAAGAATGTGCAAGACACCATTATGAAGAATATCAGCAGGAAACATGAAGACATGGAAGAAGTATTTCAAAAATTAGCTTATAGTGGTCTCGCTAAGGATGCAGTCATAGAAGGTAGGGTTCCTGTATCTAATACTGTAAAAGGATATATTATTCACTGGGTTTTAATTTTGCTTATTTCGCTGACTGGAAAATGCACTAAATTAAAACCCAGTGAATATGTAAAATTTAGCATAGAACACATTATCTAAATGATAAAACCGTCTAATTTAAAATCCACTGAATATGCCTGAAATGGTAAATCAGCAAAATATAAACCCAGTGAAAATTAGTCATTTTACAGTATACATATAATATTTGGGGAACATTTTAAATTTCTGTTTGATGCATAATATGACACAATAATTTGCCTATTATTTTAGGAGGATGGTCAATTCATAGAATAAAAATTAGCTGTTGTGTTTTTATAGGTGTTCAACAGATTGTGAAATCATCAAGCTGGAGTCAAAGTCTAAAGGGAATTCTAACAGCTGGTATGTAAAATTCAGTTGCTCTATCATTCTACAAATGAAAATCAGGCTTTTGTTTTGAGGCATATATCAAGCGCCCTCTAGTGTTTGTGAAACACAAATCTTTCTATATTGACAATATTCTGTTAAATATTCTATTTCTTGTAGTTTTCCTAAAATCTGACAGTGTAAATTTGTTCGAGTGTTTAATTTTGACCAAACAGGCTGAATTTGAAATTATTCTCTAGTTTTGAGGAATCCACATACCATATTTGCCTCTAAGTAGTATATACGCTTATGGAAATTACAGAGTTGTGTCTATGGTGAAAAAATGGTGATATGATCAGACCAGATTAAATAAATTCTGTGTTTCCTATATTTCCATGTACCCATTTACTTTTGAGAGGGGATGGGGCAATCTAATAGTTTATTTTATGCAGATAAACTGAAAATTATTTATTTATTTGCAAATTAGACATAGTACGTCGTCATCCCATCAATGTTGTATTTCTTGATTTCATGTAATTCCTTCTATTTAGTGAATGACTCGCACTTAGTTGTTAGACCATGATTACGTTCTAACAAAAATTTTAGAGTACAACAAATTTGTTGAAATACTGGGTTGAAATAAAAAAAAATTGCCTACTAATTTTTTTATCCCAGTATTCACCTGTCCTCTTTTCATCAAAAATTCACAAAATAGTCCTGTTCATAGTCTGACAGAAATAGCCATTTATTTTGAGTGAAAACTGACAATTGACTCAATTATTGTCTGTTGAGGGTTCATTTTAGAAATATTGAAGAATATAAAAAAATTCAGAAAAATTTGGTTACTGGAAACACCATAATTTGTTTAATTCAGCCTCAAGCATGCACAAAAGGTGTATGCGCATAAGCTTCTATTTACGTGTACATGTAATTTCATGTGGACAGATAGCAAAAGTTAAAAGTGTTTAATTTTATTTCAGGTGTTGTAAAGAGTGTGAGATATGGTGGTGAGAAACTAAAGAAAATGTTGAAAGGCTGGAAGAAGAAATGATACAGATATCATCGATTTGGTGCTCCATATATGATGTTGCAATATGGAAATGATTATGGTAAATTTATTTGAACCAAAATAGGTTTATTATGGCCACAAACAATCTTGCTCGATAAATTTTTCAAATGAAAATCATGGAGTGGTGAGTGAAGGTTTTGGGTTAACAATCATGAAATGCAGAGGGTTTTTTACCAAATGCATGAAAAGTTAATTAATTTACTTTACTCTGAACAGGATCAGGGACGATTTTTAACATACACATCATTATTTGAAAAGCATTGTCTGTAATTTCATGACACATTGTACACTCTGCCAATGCACTATCGACAAGTATCAAGTTCGACTTGTGCAATGTTTCAAATTTCGTCTGTGTAGGGATTTTGCCGTGTTAATGTTCCATAACTCATCGGAACTGGCAACCAGCGAATTGAACTGGCATGCTAGAAATCAGCTCCCCATTCTTGCACAGAAACTGACTGTAGGTACTATAACTTATCTATTACTTTAACAGCAAAATGTCAACCCTCAATTGTGAAATTTGTTGGGCCAATGTTGTTAACTTTTATTCAGGGATGAGAAATTTCCGCGAATCTGCAGAATTCCGTGGATTTCTAAGCCCCAGGGTTCGATTTTCTGAAATGTATAAATCTGAGGAGAAAATTTTAGGGGGGTAAGAATACAAATCTTGTTTATTCACTGGAAGTAAACACGCTGTTGGGTCATTGTTGTTGACTGCAAGAAGCCTGTATTCAGTGTATGGTCGAAGAGAGACAACTCACGGTGTCTCCAATGCGGAATGTTCGTGACTCTTTTCATCAGTGCAATGTAAAATCCGAAGTGTTTCCAAGCTTTCAAAGTAATATGTAACGATTAACATGATTGGCTGGGTTTGTTCTGACAGGCCAATCAGTGATATGCTTTCATTTTTCTTTTCACCAACGCAATTTTATTGTTTCAATTGTTAGCTGCACTTGATCGTTGTTTACAAGTTTCATGCTGCGATAATGGTGAAATTAGTTACAAAAAATAACGAG